TATGGTGACACATCTCAAACACAATTAAGCTTATATTTGGTTTACTTTAAGTATCTTAAATCCCACATTGAGCAACAATAAGATATTAATTGGTAGTGGAAAAGTGAACATCATTTAATTGTCAATATTGTTTTACTTTAATTTCCACATAAATGTTGGGAAAGTCATAAGTAGATTCCACTTAAGTTTTCATTACCATCATATCAAAACATCCGAGAGGCAATGATGTTGGAAATTAATCATACCCATATACCATCTCTTTCAATATAAAGTTTTTCAATTTTTAGATAAAAATAAAATGGGACAATGGGACTCGTGTCACTCCTCCAATAGCTCGAGCATTCTATTTCTCATCAATTCATAGGAGAATAACGTTTGAGCATTATGTTACAATCATACATCTCCTTTGTTTTTTGGTCTATGGATCCTCTAGTATTTAGCATGCGTGTTCTAAAGATAACTTAATATAAACTAGCATATAGTTACATTAAGATGAAGTGACATGTATAAATGCCTATACATAGCTTTTGAGGGAAGAGATTCTTTTTTTTTTTTTTCGAAAAAAAAAAAAAAAAAAAATTAGTTGTGGAGTTCAAACCACATCAAACTTCAAAGATCTAAACCGTTTTATTTTTCAAGTTGCATCTCATAGATAATTTTTTGCAAAATATTATCCATATCAGAAATGCTTGAGGCATCTAATTGAGTTCAAAAAAATTGACGAACACTATGTTTTAAGAAACATCAAAATTTTATCGTGACAATTAAATGAGTTTCATAACTAATAGTCATTTAAAAAAAATAGAGATTCTTTCAATTAAAGAGCTTATATATATATATATATAGTTAGGTAGGAATTTATATCGGCTTATATATAATGAGCATCCAAGCCGTCCAAATCATGATTTGCCCTCAATTGTGTCACCTTTATTTCAAACTAAAGCAATTAAAATGTTTGTTTTAGGCACCTCACAGTTGAGAGATCAAATTATATATGACCGATAATTAAGCATTCTGACTTTCTCATGTAAAAAATATGAAAAATGCAGACTGAAAAATGTGAAAATTTGAAAAACTATCCTGCATCGGAAGTTTATATATAAACAGTGTGCGTCGCTCCGTAAATAAGATAAGCTAAAGAGTTGATAAACCAAATAAGAATTTAATACTTAACACTTCCCTAGCTAATACTATAAATAGCAACATAATATCAAACAAATAGAACCTTCCCTTCCACTTTAATTTATTCATAAAGTGAATGATGGTGGTGTGATCGATCTCAACTCATCTCATCTACCCTATCTGTTAAATCGGTGCATGTTACCTTTTTGGAGGAATCTGAACTGAAGTGTGCACTTCACCTATTTTGTACAAGTTATATGATTTAAAACAATTGATCAAATATGTCAATTTCCACGTTTACAATCGCACTCTTGGAAGATATAATATAAAATCCACCACCATCCAACACACTTATATATAGTTTTAAATTTGAACAATTTTATGTAGATAAGATTTTTAGAAAATACTTAAAAGATCGATGATTCAGATCTTGAAATACATTACAAATTGAGCTCAACAAAAATATACAAAAACTTATATAAAAAAATAATATCACGAAACCGTTATATATATCCATATATATATATATATATATATAAAATATTGAATAGACAAATGCTTCACTAGTAGCAACATGTAGTGGGTATTTTATTCCATCAAATATGAATACGACACATAGTAAACATATAAGTTAGTAATGATTATTGAAGGCCACTAGGGCACTACTAGGTTAGCAAAGTAATCTTCAAAGACCCACATGAAAACAAATCTAGGATCCCAACGTGACCCTTTTAAAGCATGCAATTAGATATATATTGTCAAAAAAAATAAAAGGAATTTTAACGAAAAATTATCGGTATTGTTCATTTTAACGAAAAAACATATTTTTACACTAAAAAGTCAATCTTGGTACTATTTATTTTACCCTTTATTTTGTCATTATCGTTAAAACTCAAAGTTTTCAAACCCTTTTAATTAATTTTCCGAAAAAAATATGTATATATATATTGTCCATTTAAGTTCAAGTTCTATAGTTGGAATTTAGTTGCTTTCTTTTGTTATTTTAATGATAGAAGTCAATTTTATTATAGGCTTAGCCATGATCGGATGGCTCAGTGATAGGGGACGAATTTTAAATTCGTATTTCTTACAGTACGTTCTAGGTTAGATTCCTGACACTAGTGAATCACACAATGGTGGTTAAGGGAGGCTAAAATGCATGTGTAAGTCTTTCCGACCCTCGAAATGATGGAATTCCATAACGAAATCACCAACTAATCATTCCCTTTATAGGCTTAATGGATATTGATATCAAAATTCTAAAACCATCATCATGCACACTTATATATAATTTTATTTTATTTTGTATTTTCATAAATTCAAAACACATAACAACAGTGCCAATAGGAGAAATTAGATAAGAGAAATTAGGAACTTCCGTATTCTAAGGAATTTAGGAAAAACATATAACAAAAACTAGATAAGAGAACTTAGAAAAAGCACTACGTAAGCATTATAAAGGTTTAAACGGAATTTGTAAATGAATTTTACAAATTCATCTCATATGCCTTTTCTAATAATCATGTTGTGCATTTCTAATCCATTTTATCTTACTTTTTGTAATCTATTTCTTCATCAATATGCTTAATTCCCTAAGAATTTAGAAGTTTCGCACTAAACCATACCCTAAAGAAATATATACATTTCCCGACTGCCGTCACTTCATTAGGTCACTTCAATTCTTCTAGACTTGCACTCCCAAGGATGATGAAATTTGAAGCCATTTTCGGTTTTCCCCTTTAATTATTACGTGCACTTCGTTTGTTATATAATTAAAGGATTATCACCTAATTATGTATAAAAGCTCGAATCTAATCAATGCATTAAAAAAAATTAACATTTGATAACTGTCAACCTGTTTGGTATGAACCAAAATTTCAAAGTCTTAATCCAAAACTTTTCATAAATACTTGGAGGTGAGTGGTAGTTATGAGTGTGCAATGGTTGTGAGGTGACATATATATGTACGTGTGTGTGTATATATATTGGGAAGTGTTATAGACACTCAAAAAATCTCATTCTACACTCCTCATAAGTATATTTTTTTTTTCCTAATATAGAAAGTTTGGAATGTAAAATGAGATTTTTGAAGTGCTAATAACAATGCCCTATATATATATATATATATATATATATATATATATATATAACTAACAACAACATGAAATTTCATGACAATGAAAAGTTAGTGATCAACCATATTTGAGCGACTTCATTTAATAAGAAATTGAAATGCATATGTGAGTTTTTTCAATTTCTAAAAAAGTAAAATATTGTGGCAAAACCATCAACTAATACCCTTTAAAAAAAAAAACTTGTATCACTACACATGTATCTAGTTATTAGAAGTCTATCGAAAATTTCTACAAGTTACATGCTAAAATATTTCTAATAATCGTGTTATTCACCATTATTGTAACTCAAAATTTTTAATTTCACATGTCATCGTAATTGTCACACTAAAATTTGTTAGTTCTCATTTGCATTTTCATTTCACATAAGTTTTAATCTGAGGCCCAAAGACCCAGAAAAGTTGGAGGCCCAACATTAAGCACTTCGTTGAGGCCTGAGCCCAATCTAGCTTGCCTGTTGACTCTGGTCTCTCGAAGTTTTCTGGTTTGTTTTTTTTTTTTTTTTTTTTTTTTTTTCCTGTTCGGCTGCGATGTTTCGAATTTTGGTTTTCGGGTTAGTGTTTGCTTTTTCAAAATTTCGATTTTTTTGAATTTGCATTGTTTCTGAATGCTGTTTTTCCAGTAAAGGTGTAATCTTTGCTGTGATTTAATCACTTTATTGGCATGAAACGGTGGAAACATCCGGGATTGGCTGAGAAGGGTCTGAATTTGCGGCTGAGAAGGACCTGGTTTGAGTGAATGGCGGCCCCCCTCGTACTTTTATGTAATATTTCCCCAAGAGTACATTTTAAAGAAACTAATGAAAAAAACTTGAAAACTTTGAGTTTTAATCAAAATGATAAAAATGTGTTGTAAGTAAATAATATCAAAAATAATTTTTTAAAGTAAAAATATCTTTAACATTAAAAGTAAATAGTATTAAAAGCGTTTGATTTAGACTCTTCGCATTTTATTGGATCGTTTACGTTGCTTGTATGACACTTCTCAATTCTCACATCATCATAAAATATTCTGTCTTTTAATCTCACTTTGAACTTATCATGGATTCATGGTGATGGTTCCATAATGTGTAAGGTACCCTAATTATATGGCTTTACCGAAATTTCTCTGCAAATTCTGACTCTAAAGTCTGACCACTTGTCGTTTTACTTTGACCTCATCCTATAATAATATGCAAGTGGAAGGCAAAAAGGTCAAAAGGTTAAAGGTATGCCCTTGATTTGGGACAAATATGGAATGGAGATGTGCGGCGAACCCATTGTCATTTTCCTGAAATCCCTTAACTTTTGGTCAGTGTTAATCTTGTTTAATTAAATCTCGTAACATCTAATATTAATCTAAGCTTGGCTTAATTATTACAAAGACTCAAAAAGAGGAATATTATGTTGTAATAATTTCCATGGACACTTGCAATGTTTATTGCCACCATTCCAATTGGGTATAATTTAAGGGAGTTTACAACACCAGCGCTAAATAGGCGTGTTTGTTTGGTATTGCGCTCAAAAGCAATAAAGATAGTGAATTATAAGCTTTATATTAAATAAAGCATACGTGAAAATTAAGAAAGAGTTATAGCGTATAACGATTAATAACGAGACTAAAAAAGGTTTTGTGTGTAATATCAGTCTGAAGTATGACTTTAATCCCATGATTAGCGCTAGTATTTTTAGTAATAATTTTGTAATTTCGAGTAGTTCATTAATAATTTTTTATTCTAGTATATTTTTAATAAGAGCATTTTCGGAATGTAAATTTGAGATCTCATTTATTTTTTGTCTCTTTACAATCAGCGGAGTCCACCTCATAAGTAGTAAAAAAGTATATATACATTTCTATTTACATTTTCTACGATGATGTTTCTCTTGTTCTTCTTGACTCTACATGGTCAATAGTCTTTCTCATGATGGTCATCTATCGAAATAATATCAGTTCGATGAAATTTTATTAGGGTATTTTGAAAAGAAAAGGGACGAGTAAGAGAGGGTAATTAGCGCTTTAATTCAAGGGTATTTTTTAAATTTCACAGAGACATTTGGTTAGATATGTAAGAATTGTAAAAGGTAGACTAAATTTATTGTGATAAAAAAGTGGCTAGTTATCAAAATTTCTCATTGGAATTTCTGTTGTTCTTTATAAAATCAGTGCAGGAGGAGACTACAATGTTCGAGCACCCCCTGGGAGACATCAAATCCACATTACTCTTCAAAGATATCGAAAAATATAACTCGAAGGAGGGACTGGAATATTTTGCAATGCAAATGGAGGAGGGAGCAAATCTTGTTCAATAGTGCAGCGAAGTTGGCGTGTGGAGAAAATACAAGTACGCCAACAAGCTTCATCAACTGGACCTTAAAAAAACAAAGAACACGACATTAGTTTATTCAATTTTAACAAATAAAAATTAAAAGTTTAGACAAACAAAAATAAAATTAATTACGCACTTATACCATGCACTTTGAGCCTCGCATCCCTTATGCCCTGCACTTTGAGCGCATCAAAAACTCTTCGAAGAGATTTGAAGCTCCAGTTGATGAAGCTTGTTGGTGTGTTTGTATTTTCTCCACACGCCAACTTTGCTGCACTATTGAACAAGATTTGCTCCCTCCTTCATTTGTATTGCAAAATATTCCAGTCCCTCTTTCGAGTTATATTTTTCGATGTCTTTGATGGGTGGCTGTGGAGAGTCCAGTGCAGAGTTAATGTCTCCGAGGAGGTGCTTGAACATTTTAGTCTCCTCCTGCACTGATTTTACAGCATCAAACAGCATTTCAAATGCCGTTTCCAATGAATTTAGGGAGAGAATGTAAAATCACAGTTTGATGAGAAACTGCGAATGTTATGTTTGCAACTCTGGGTTTCAGCACACGTATATATAGCTGAAGTTAGGAAAAGACACGGAATTTTCCGGCCACTTGTTTTGGTTACGTGCTTGTGGGGGTGGGGTGGGTTTGGTGAGGGGCTTAAGGCTAGCAGGAGGGGGTGCGTATTAGGGCGTACAATATACCCCCACTTATCCAATCCAATTAAAAAGTCTTCATAAGCAAAGTAGTTATTCGCAAAATTACCTCCAAAATCTTAATGCGAATAGTAGTTAGCGTGATAGAGCTTGGCGTGATGAATGTGCATGGGCATGATGTAAGTTGTACAAACGTTCGGTTCATTTATTATAACGTGACATGGTTGTGAATATTTCTCGATTATGCACATTTGCATGTGTTTAAGTTTGACTCGTGGCTTGTATGACGATCGGACCTTGGAATGACCTTTTATTCTAAAATTTTTAGATTTCAACAAAAAAACGCTTCCAAACGAACCAGTAATTATCAAACTAAAATTTGTCGGTTGACTTCGCAAGACCCAAGTCCGCGGATGGTAGAAACGACGTGCCAGTTAAGCGCGCGAGTGAACACGCAAGGCGTGCTTGCAAAGAAAGAAAGTCGACGTAGACCGAAATAGTTAACGGTGGGGGACACAGCAATTCCTGGGTTTCCGATTTCCTCCTTTTGGTAACACGCACCGACGCGGCAGACTGAAGTGAGCTTTCCGCCTTCCCTCTTTTCGCCGTCGCTGTTTCCTCGTTTTCGTCAAAAACCCCGGGAAACCTAGGAATTTCTTGGTACGAGATTGCTTGTTTATCTACTCTGGTCTCTCGAAGTTTTCTGTTCTGCTGCGAGATTTCGAATCGTGGTTTTCGGGTTAGTGTTTGCTCTTTCAAATTTTCGATTTTTTTGAATTTGCATTGTTTCTGAATGCTGTTTTTCCTGTTAAGGTACACTCTTTACTGTGATTTAATCACTTTATAGGCACGAAAATCTTCAATTTTTACTGCTTTGTTTTTGGGTGGAACAGTAAATTGAAATTATAACTGGGTTTAGGTTTGTATTTTTGTTCTTCTTTTGAAAACTAATTGTAATTAATTTTCAAAATTTTGTAGTTTATTATTGTTAGGTGAAGAATGATTAAGTAAAATTTCACCATGCTTATTTCATCGTGTCATGTCGTGTTACGAGTTTAATTGATTGTGGCTGGGGAGAGACTTGTTCTGGCAACAATTGGTTTTGTTCTTGAAATATTCTCCCCGACCTTGCTCAGGTGGCATTGAATTTTGTTAATGACTGGTGAGCATTGTTTAATTTCTTATACTGCGGATTATGGGGCCAGACAGAAAAAAAGCTCTACCGCCAGAGAATGGAAGAGTCATTGCAGCTGAAACACTGCCTAGAAAGCCAAGTAGTATTGACGAGGGAGGTGGGAAAGCAATGGTGCATATGCACCATGGTATGGGTTCGACTCCACTGACTTCCGTACTCCCTCATAACTAACTATTTAACCCTCTCACGCTGTCGTTCATAAAAAAAGATGGTTATTCTAGTAATTAATTTTAAATTCAATAATTATTATCTTCTATCTGATGCTATAATCGTACAGCGGGATCGGATCCTCTCTCTTGTAATTAACAAAAATAAGTGAATCAGACGGTTTTATCGAGAAATTAGGCTTCGAAGATGTGGTAATTATTGGGCCTTCCGAGAGAGGAAATAAAAGCCCGATCTCTCCTTTTGAAGTTCGGCCCGTTTTAGTTTGGGAGCAATAACACTACTCATTTCTCTTCGAATCATACTTTTTCTTGTTTCGTCATTTTCGAATTATACTTTCCACTTCTTTTTTTTTTTCAGTTACTTTAAGGGCAAATGCCCAAACTAAGTACCTGGCAATCAAATGGGACCAGTGAGGTTATTCTGTGGTCACGAATAATCTAACGACATATCCTTTACTTTTTTGCACACGTATTTTTTTTATGTACACTAATGTTTATTTATATTTTCGTATATAAGTACAGGTGTGATCACTGATCACTTCATGGTCACAATCTCTTTTGCAGATGTTGAGGTTCATTCATATACACGTGCAACTTTGGAAAAAGCATGGGCACTGATCAACTTGGTATGTTCTTATGTGGCAATTGAATCTAGTAATTGAAAGAACATGTTAAGTACCAAATTAAGTTAAAACCATTTCCAACGTGGTTGATTAGGTATAGTGGATGCAAAAGGGGCCAAAGTCGGAAGAGATTTGTGAGGAATAGTTTGTCTGTATGGAGTTGAAGTCAAGTGAATGAGAGATTCATCATCACTTTCTATTAGCGTTAAACAAAGTATGCTCTAACCTTTCAGATTGATAAGGAAGACCCTTCTCTAATCGTCGTAGCAAAAATAACTTTTAGAGACAGATAGAGATTTTGTGGCAAAAAACAAAACCCTTATTGATGATTTATTAATTGATAAGGAAAATTATTTAGGGTTCAGTGGGGATGGAAAGCAAATGACAAAGAAATTAAAATAAAAGTGATGGCCCCTGAGTGTTGGATTTAAGTTTGACAAGCATATATTCTTCTGTTCCAGTTATTTGTCATCTTTCAAGACACGCCTTTAAAATCCTGCAACTTTAGACCCACTTTTAGGGTTTTTGCCATATATTTGACTTGAAAAGTTCATTTTATAATCGAGTGGAAATAGCATCACCAAATAATGATCATGTTAAAGAATTGGAGCAAATTAAAGAGAGCGAAAATTATCTTAATTATTACGACTTGTTAATTAATCCCTAGCTGGCTATAAAGTATGTCTAAACATGCAAGTGTTGTATATTATATATGTGGCAAAATATCAACATGTAAGGCTCGTCAATTGTTACAGTTTCCTCATAGCGAGATACAATGAGTTTTACGGGCATGTAATATTCATAATGTTATACTGGCAGTTAATGTTTTGGGTTAATTTAGAGTGTGGATATTGTGAAATGTATGTAAGCTTGGTTTTGAGTTTTATGCATGTAACTTTGATTCGTTATGACAGACTGGCAATTATATATGTTTAAGGTTAATTTATGGTTTGGATATTGTGGATTGTATAAGCTTAATTTTGAGTTATGCTTAAATTTATTAGTACCCTTCATGTCTTGTAGATGTCTCTAATGTACGTTTAAAATTTATCTAATGCATCGTTTCCTACATATAAAAATAAAAAGAAAGTTTCATCATGTATCTTCTTCTTTTATGAAGGGAAAAGTGAAAAAATATACTTGTTCTTCAACTTTATTCACACACATATATTTGATGTTTACCTTCGCGTCAAGAGAGACTTTATTTCCCAATCAAATGTGTTCTTGTTTGGAACTTTGGAGCAACGAAAAGTTCTTTTACCATCTTCACAGCTAGTAAACCAGACTAAGAAAATTCTTGAAAAGATTGCAGATCGAACCCTTTATGGTTTGGCAGTAATTTCAACAATTATATACAGGTCTAATTAAATGAAATGTAAAGCTGACGACTTCGATATTAATTAGTGATTAGGATTGAATTAAGAAGGTTCTAATATTCGTCCCATAAAACATTAAACAATACAGTGAAACTAATTGAACACAATTAAAAGCAGTGTTATGTGTACGTTCCAATTATACTAAAGTAATTAGACAAAAATTATAGATATTTGGAAAAGCTTACGATAAAGTAGCTAGGGTTGTAATATATAAGGCAACTGGATAAGGTCTGTGGTGTGTGACTCCGTTGACTGGCAAGGACTCCAAAAAGACCTGTTATTTCTGCTTAATTAGTTTAGTTAATGATGGTGATGGTCCTCATGGACCCTAACCCTAAAGTTATTAATCATATAACAACTTTTTTTTTAGTAGGCTATGGACATTTTTTTTGTTTATATGATAATTTGGTTTAAATATCAGTACTGCGTAGAGAGAGCATCCAGTTATTGATATAGTTACTTAGAATTATATTTGTAGATAAAATAGGAAAAAGTTCTAACTCTGTATTTCAAGTACAAAGGATAATGCTCTTGATCAGGTAATCTACAAACCTTTTACGCTGCGAATTATATCTGTGGATGGAACACAATGGATTTTGGATGACTGTAACAAGGAGATGCTTGTTGTCATTTTTAAATTGTAGTCCACATCCTTACCCACTGAGGAAGTCTGTTTCCTTCAATTCTTCTTTTTCAGATGAGGTTATAATTTCCTTCAGTTCTTTTTCAGATGTGGTTATAATTAACTTCACTCCTTTGCACATGCATTAAAGAAAGTAGAGAAGAGACCTTTCAACCGAAGCTAACTTCAATAGTTTGGTTAATTTATTTCACTAGCTCTTGGCGGTGGCTTTTCTTCTCCCACATGTGCATTATCTTCCTCAAGCTTGAGAATGATTACTAGGGTTGATGAGAAAATGATTACTAAGATTATTGAATTTCTAAATATTTATAAAACAACATGTATTGGTATTCATTCTAGAGAGAAACTTTCACGAAAGGACACGATTATAGTAGTATTTTAAACTAATCATATACTGTTATGTGTTTTAACTTTCACAAATAAAACGTAATTAGTTTGAGATACTACTATACCAACAAACTGACTTTTCCATGCATGGAAATCCTCTATGTTATATATATTTTCATACCAAATTGCATTACATGTTATATATCCTCTTTCCCAAAAAAATTAAATAAATTGTTGATTAGTTGGATTCTTATTTGAATGCATGGTTGAAAGATTAACAAGTACTATACCTAATAAGAGCAGAACAAGTTTGAATCACTTTTTTAGGAATTGTGTTTATTATAGTTCTTTGAATGAAAATCCTAATCATAATTAAGATGCACGAATCTATGAAGAATCATGAAAGTGAAAATAATAATTGAAATTTATATTTTAAACCAGATGCAGAAGCAGCTTTAGCGAAATGAATCTTGGAAGATAGCGAGAGTAGGAAATTGGGGGAAAAAAAAAGGTGACAAGCAAGTGAAAGAAAGAGGGAAAGAAAAAGCTCTTGATAAAGAAGAAAAGCTTTAAAGAAGAAAAAAATAGTTTGAACTTTGGAGAAATAAATAAATTGAATTAATGTAGTTTGTAAGATGGGTGGGCATGCTTGCTGGAAGGCTAAAAGAAAAGTTAAGCTTGCCCATGCCCTCTGATCTCACATTCGCCTTTTTCATCTGATGTGAACTTTTGTTGGGCTGATCAAAATTGTTAATATTTATCTCTTTTTTTAAATACCACTTAAATTATTAATTAATATATAGCCACTTCTTCGATGGAGAATGACAGCTTAATCATACTTTAATTGTTCTTTAATTCTTCAGCTATATGTCTTTGTCAGCTGCTCAAACAAATATTGTTGGAGAATATAATCCATGTTCACATATATATAGTTAACATTTCCCACCTTTTTCTGGGTTTAATTAGTGAGGCTAATCTAGTGCAACCCTAGCTCCCATTGCAGTACCTAATAATTAGCTCGACCCAGATACAAGAAGTAGCAGCTAGCTTTCTTTCTTCCCATTGCACATACATGCACCTGCGGATAGTACGGTAACACACACACACACACACACACACACATCTAATATTGCATCTGTTCAGACTTACATGTACAGAGATATAACCTCAAATTTATTGTTATTTTTGAAAAGTAGCGGACAATTAGTCATGGTCATCAAATATTTATATTTTGTCTGGCAAGAGTTTTTGGGTAAGAGAAATTGTTTGCCACTGGCAGCTAGGAGATATGAATGAACATTTAATTAGATTACACTTGTTTTATATGCTGATCTAGATCAACCATCATAAACAAGTATTTTGAATATATAATATACACACATATATATTTTGAATTTTGATATTGTTCTACTCTTGAATAAGGAATGAATTGCCTGCCCCTGCCTCCCTCATATTTGCTTCGTCTACCTCAAGATTTGGGCTGGAGAATGGCGAAAATAATATTTATTCAATTTAGCATCTACCAGTTAGTCTGTGGCATTTAAACTGTATCCAATTAATCTTTTGGCTCATTACATTGACAAGCTTCTGTTGTTCTATGTATACACACACTGAAGTTATATACATATAGATAATCACAAAAAGGATCCACAGATTGGAAGGAAAAATGCAGACTATTCAGTTCGTGAAGAAGCCGATCGTGCAGAATAAAAGTTTGAATTATTAGAAAGGTCTTAGATATCCTAATTAATATCAATCTGTAGAGAACTGCACAAATCTTTGAATTGTAACTGATGTGATCGATCGTCAATGTTCGTCTAACCTACTCAGCTTCCAATACATATGCATCACAAAGTTGCTTTAAAAAATCTAAGAACAAAAGCTAAAAAGTAGAGACCAATCGTATTGACCAAAACTTATAAGCAACTGTACTGTCGTTGAACTTTCACATAAATGGAGATCTCTTTTTGGGACAAGCCGTTCATCAGTACACATCTCAATAACCATAAACTATATACGGTATATGCTACTGATATACTATTATTCTTATTTTTCCATGCTACACGATAATTTAAACTGCTATTTTCTATTTGACCTTTTATTAAACATCACCTTTGCAAAAATTTAATCAGAATTTTTATTAACATTTTGTCAAAATTTTAAAGTTTAACTAAATAACATGGTTCGTTTATTATTGCATAACCGCTAGATGATTAAAGAATTTCACATTTGATTTAATTAGCAAAGTTGATCTTTACAGATTGGCTTTGAAACTGTATGGTTCATATCATTGTGCAACATTATAGAATTATAAGAAGATCCGAGAAGGTAGAAAAAGAATGTTGAACTGAGAAAGTAACTAAATTCGCATAGTTATTCCGAAGAAGGATTCTCGGGGGCAGAACTCCCTCTTTACTTGATCTAACGCTAATTCCAAGGGGATAATCTAAGGATTATAATTGTAATTAATTTGATTCATATAAACACAAAAGGGCCACAGGCAACGTGCGGTTCTATCAGTGTTTCATACAAGTGTTGTCAAGATAAAAAGAAATCTTAGCTATTTCAATCAAAAGTGTGGAAAGCCATCACTAGCTATGTCTTTGGCTTTGCTAGGACTACTTGTGATAGAAATCTGCGTTCAGCGTAGCTATAGGCTAGCTAGTTGATCACACAATGTTTATAATCAAAATACTAGATTTGTGTCTGCGTGTGCGTCTCAAACTCCAAAAAGAAAGAGGGAAGGTTGCAATCATCGACCTCTCTTGTCGCTCTTGAAGATTACCATCCTCCAAGATATGCACTTTAATTAATGGAAGTGATGTTTACCACCAAAATTCTAAGGG